TGGCTTTCGATACCACTTTGTCAGGTAACCGCTACTTGATAGGTTTATTTGGACGTCCAAAAACGGAAGCCAGTTTTCTCGCGGTTTCTCCCGGGTGAACTTTATGTACTCGGACTGCTCGTTCAATAATTCCAAGCATTTGTCCATCTTACTTTCGCGTAGAGAAAACGACAAAACAATCATCTACATATCTGCAGTAGGGTAGTGGCCGGAGATCGAGAACAGGGGCTTCTATCTTAGACATGGCAATGGCAAGGCTTGGTGCCAATCGCTGTCCCATTGCCAATCCCCTTATTTGCGCGAAATATTTCCCAGACCATCTGAAAATCGAGCAGTTTAGGCACTCCTTTAAGAGAGCCATTAGCTGCTGGATGGACAAGCCATGCATATTTATTCTTCTTTCATGTTCAACAAGGAGTTCGAAGATGGCTTGCATTGCGGAGTCATTCGATACGTTGGTGTACAGTGCGTTAACGTCGAAAGACTCCATCACGTACGCGTNCTTATTTGCGCGAAATATTTCCCAGACCATCTGAAAATCGAGCAGTTTAGGCACTCCTTTAAGAGAGCCATTAGCTGCTGGATGGACAAGCCATGCATATTTATTCTTCCTTCATGTTCAACAAGAAGTTCGAAGATGGCTTGCATTGCGGAGTCATTCGATACGTTGGTGTACAGTGCGTTAACGTCGAAAGACTCCATCACGTACGCGTTATTGAGAGACGCGTTACGTAGACGTTCTAGGAACATTTGGGTGTTTGTAAGGTGAGCTGGAATGTGGTTAAGCAACTGGGTAAGTATCAGGCTTAAAAACCAGGTTATTCTATCCGTTGGCCCGTCTACACAGCTGATGATCGGTCTAACCTTGAATGATGACGGATTGGTTGACGCATGATCATCAGGTGATACCAACTTATGTGTTTTAATAAGTAGGTATAGGACGGGACATGTTGGTCTATCGATTTTAAAGTGCGAAATAACCGATGATTTTAAACCCGCAGCCTTTGCCACGCTAACCCATTGATTGTTTAGTTTTCGGTATTGACTTTTATATTNCTAGGAACATTTGGGTGTTTGTAAGGTGAGCTGGAATGTGGTTAAGCAACTGGGTAAGTATCAGGCTTAAAAACCAGGTTATTCTATCCGTTGGCCCGTCTACACAGCTGATGATCGGTCTAACCTTGAATGATGACGGATTGGTTGACGCATGATCATCAGGTGATACCAACTTATGTGTTTTAATAAGTAGGTATAGGACGGGACATGTTGGTCTATCGATTTTAAAGTGCGAAATAACCGATGATTTTAAACCCGCAGCCTTTGCCACGCTAACCCATTGATTGTTTAGTTTTCGGTATTGACTTTTATATTCTTTTCAGAGGATGGGCGATAGAGCGTAGCATCACTAAGATGTTCCTCTGTTATCTCAACATCCAGCTGGCGAGGGATAAGTACGAACTCTCCCCCCTTATCACTAACAGACAATCTTATTGTTTTCGAGTTTATTAATTCTCTAGTTTCCCGCATGCCACATTTTTGTGCGGCTGTAAGGTTGGAGATAAACTTTCTATCGCGGTAGTGATCAAGGGTCTTGAGAACGTCGTCCGAAAACGTGTGGAATTTTATGTCAACTCCATCGTTAGGGTCCTGCTGCCTAAAGAACGTTTTCGGGAAAGGAGATGGTGGTAGTGTCGCCGCCTCTTGATTGCCATCTCTATTTGATGTTTCTTGCGACAGAAATCGAAAAACAAAAAAAAAAGAAAACGACACATTCATACTGAACAATTTTTTTATTTCCATTAGTCGGTTGAATGTTCTGAGCCCAACATTTTTGAGAGGTCTGCGTTTTATCCAGTTAAGTACGATTTCCGAGACGGAAAAAATGAAAATTTCTCGAATTCTTAGCGACTTTTGAAGTTGGATTAGCACCGCCTTGGTTAATTGAAGTGCCAAGGTAACAGCATCTAGTCCCCTTTTTGGTACTGTTGAGGTGGATTTCAGCGAAGGCAGTTTGCCTTTTGCCATAAGGATTGGTTGAGTCTTCTGGGCATAGATGAATGCAAGTGGACATAGCTTCGGTACAAGCATCGGCAAAAGTTGCTAGAGTGTAATTAGAACTCAGTGCCAAGACAACATGGTAGAGATCTCAAGAAATCCTTGTATTTCTGTGCATATACTACTCCACTGTTTGTAGGATTCTGCTAAAGCATTGTACCAGTCGTACTTGTCTTTCCACAAAGTGCGTAGGAATACCTTTGCTCTTTGGAGTAAAGGTAATAGGAAACCCATGGTAGGAGAGAATGGTGGAGAATTCTCTATCTGATTGGGGAATTCTCTGTAAATGTGTTGTCGGAGGAGGATGCACAAATGTAGTACAACCCATTCTTTTGGAGGTACTGTGACCTACCTTGAGGTGTTCTATACTTGTCGCAGTAAAACGGTTTATGGTTACCCTTGAAATACATGCATGAAAGCATTGAATATTGGGGTTTCCATTGTTTTGCTTTGCTCTCAAAATTAGCACTAGTGGTTGGAATTGATCGGCAATTTGTGGTATAGCGCGAGATCAATTCCTCATTGGAGATGATCTCTTCTATGAATTGTAGAAGTAGTTGCATGTCAAAGAGTTCCTCAGTTGTCGTTCTCTTCGAAAGTACTTTACATTGTGTGTCAATGGGAAATTTTGACAATACTTTCTTGTACATGCATTGATTGTTTACATTTTCTCTTTTTTCGATTAGTTGGAGTATTATTGCTTGTATATGGTCCAGTAGTGTTCTTTGCTCATGCAAGGTGGACGAGCGAGGAGCATTTTTTTCCAGTTCTGCGAAGATTGGTAGAACCTCAGATTTCCTATAGTTCTTGTTAAGAAAATTAGTGGTTATCTGATAGTTTTCATTACTAGTGTGGAATTTCTTTATGGCTTGAAGGTGTTGTCCTTTTAAGGAGCTAACAAGGTAGCTGAAATTTTTAGGTCAGAGACCTTTTGTGAGTGTATATGTTTTGTAGAGCTGCCGAAAGTTGTCCCACTCTCAAATATTGCCGTTAAATGTTGGGATTGGGATTATGGGAGGGTCGATTCTTGACGATCGCAGTACGCAGTGTTGATATGTCGTTCCATAGGTTTGTTGTGGTGTCGTATTGTGGACGTTCGACGTATTCCTTAAAGACCTTTATGCGAGCGCACACGATTGTGGATTACTCGAAGGCATTAGTTATCACATGTTCTGAGTAAGGAACAGTTTCCTGTAATGCCTTTTAAATGTTTGGCAGATCTGGACATATTTCCTTGAGTTTACTGGCAAAATCCTTCAGCGCGCTTCCAACTTTTGCTGAAGTTTTTTCTATTGCGGTTGTTCATTCTTGCCAACTTTGTAGGCTTTCTTATACGAAGTTTGGTTTGATATCCCATTCTGCTCTTGCGATTCTGAGCATTTCTAAGTGATACTCTTTGAGTTGTGTTAGTATTTTTTCGAACTGCCTTGCGTATTTTGTTAGTCGCTTTTGATTTAGCACTATTATTCGCTGGAGCATGGTGCAATTCTTAGTAATACGGACAAATGGGCGTTAGATGACCTGGATCCTTTGCTTGGTCAGTGCACTAAAGTTGTATTATAGCGTTGGTACATGGAAACAACTGAGTTTTGATGGTAAGCTTAGTTACTAGATAAGGTCAGTAACTACAGCAGGGGAATCCCACAATGAAGTACGGTGGAATAATTCCGTTACAAAAGGAAAACAGAGATGACAAATGGCAGGAATGCCGATATGTGGTTAATCTCTTGACATTGCTGTCTTATTGTTGACAAGTCCAGTGGTATTGTCTTGACAGACGTAATCGTCATCGACCTGTCCAGTGTTAATATGTGTGGCCTCGATAGGTTTAAATAACGCTCTTATATATCTGATGTTATACCTATGAGTGTGAACGTTTTCATATATCCAATGTCAATATATCTAATGTATATATCTATCTGAACAGGTGTTAGCTTATGTGGTAACCTAATCCTTGGCCGTAGCTGGCTAGGGATGAATCGCTATCCGAAGGCATATAGAATAAAAGTACTGTAGAGAATGTTTTATTCTATTAAAAAGATGCTCTTTGATTGACTTATCGACATTGTATGAATTGTCGTATTGTTTTTTCCAGCAGCAATGCGTTGTCTTCTAATCATAAGTGGAAATTAGTGAATGTTTATATGTTTGCCTCATTGCACCACTTTTTTGTCTTACGTCTTATGTTGGTAGTTTTCATATAAATTCGATATGCAACTGATTTAATAGGTTATTATATTAATTGAAATATGAAAAGTTCTAGTAGTACAGTTCCATACAATGTCGACGGCCTAGACTATGTTTCTTGTTGACAAACGTAACAGTACCAGTAGAATCACAGTACAAAGCAAACTGGTAGTAAGAGAAATATTCAGTCACTACTGTTCCGTATGAACTGGAAGTATAAGGAATCCATGAAGATGAAGCTCTACAAGTTTTGTAACCGTTTGCACATCTACCCACTATGATTACACAACTCATCAACAATTATACAACAATCGACAAAATAAAGAGTACAATAAGAAAAAGAAAGCAAAAATAATGAGAAAACTGCCATCATTGTCGTCGTCAATATCACTCTCACTGTCAGACTTATTGAAATATCACAGATGTTCAGTTTTTACATACATGAGCGAAGCGCTGTTTACAGTCGCATAACTTACGTAACGTCAAGCGAGCTGCTTTCGCTTGATAAATTTCGTTTCCAATTTTGTTTTTTATTTCTAACAATCTAAATATTAACTCTTCGCTTTCTGTTGGATTCACACGATCGCTGCAGTCTCCTACAGTCGAGTCGTTGGTGTTTACATTAAATTGCTCGAACGACAGAATAGTTGCTCTAATGTGATTTGTACGATCCAGTGACACTCTACAGCAGATTCAGAGTTGATGTGAATTGATTTCAAGTGATTTGTATTAAATGATTTCGGCAAACCATTCAGCTTCATTCTTATCGCATGTGGGATCGATGGTTACCATATGTAGATTGGGGTAGACAAGAAAGTAGAATAGACAAAATATGACGAAACCGAAGAAGAACAGCATCTGAATTATCTATTATTACGGTTTATTACTAGTAACAGTAACGATACTTACTTGATACTTAATACTTGAATGGCCCGTCCTCACTGGTTGTGAGGGCTCCAGCATAATCTCCATTCTTCGGAGACTTGCTTGTTAAGCCATTATGGTTCCCTGGAGTCTCGAGGTCACCCTGGCCAAATTCTGCCCCAGATCTTCACCACCATGGGCAGTAGCAGCCCTTGTGGATCAGAGGGAGATTTGCCACCATGTAACTTTGATACCAGGACGGTGGTGGATCCTGGTATTGGTTTACTCTTAGCTAGGTTTCCTGTTGGAAACGCCGGACTCCTTCTCAGCTTGGGAGACCCTGCGAGCGGATGAATCCCCTGCTGTACATCGCAGTTCGACACCCAGGAACACCTCCCAGTCACGATGAGGCAGTAAACCGTTGGGAGGAATAATGATAGTATCGATATTAGTATTATAACAAATATTATTACTGTTTATCATAATTATTGCTATTAGTATTATCATTTTATTATTTTTGTTGTTATTATTATTACCACTATTGTTGTTGTGGGGTACGGTAAGCGCTCCGGTTAGAGTACCCTGCTCGCTACGGACGTTGATTCAATTTAGTAGTCAGAACAAACAAAGTCCGTTATCCCCTAGGGGTTGGTAGATTGCTACCAGACTCATCTGAGAAACGCTGCATTGGATCCAAAGGATCCAGCAAGTGCCTATCTTGACGATCTGCTAACACCCTAGAAGTGCTGACCAACGATTCTGGAACGAAACTGATTCGACTATAATTCGGCGATATTTATGGATAAGGTATTACCAACGACATCCGAACCGTTGCACTACGATGGGATGTTGCATTGGGTGCATAGGCTCACAAAACTTCGATGCAAACCAATAAAAACGAGGTGGAAGCAGCAGTGCTGACTAAAGTTTCGAATGTTAAGAGAGACACTCTCAACGCTCGGACAGAACTCGTCTAAGGTAAAGATGGGAACGGTTCGTTAGTAGCAGGAAGGAGCAACTACAATATTTGGGGTCACTTACGGTCCATACTTTTTAGTGCTTTTGACTGAGGCGCCTATCAACCCATATGCTATGTTAGGTATAGTTCATATTTGTTCCAATGTTTCCTCCTATTGATATCCGATATCGTACATATCTTGTCGGTGGAGACCTGAATGTACAGCAGTTAATCTGAACAGGATCAGAGACGAACACATAATGAACTTATTCTCACTCATCCACACACACCTTGTCGTTTCATGCGTTATTTGCCAGAGTGCAAGGTACTGTAATCAACGGAGGACTACGGTGTCACGTTGTTGCACAAGAAAAGAAATGTACGTAGCAGCGGGAACTGGTGAATAGTCTGCAAACTTCAAACCTGCGATACCTTTGATGAGGGTTCAAATGCTATTCACCACGTTATCCTAGGCCTTTGGTTTGCCGTTCTGTGAGGCTTGTTTTAAATCCATTGAAGCTATCAGCAGTCACCCGTCAATGGGAATAATCTGGAGAGCACGTATCTCTTCTGAACTCAGTTAAGCTGAAGTTGTAGTCGAAATGAAAATGCCTTATCTTTTATTCACTGCTTACATGAGCCCTGCAAAGCTAATCGCTGGTTCGAAGCCTAGCTGAGGTCTAGAGTTTCACTCATATCTCAGCACTCCTATGATTGTATTTCATATCCTACGCTGCCACTAAAAAACAATAGGCAGCAAACGAAAGTCTGCAAACTCTTAAAGGCCAGGTTAAATCATACCTCGGTATGAATATTCAATAACTTTCTACATGATTAAGCTGACAGGAGATTGGTTTAAGACTTTTATAACTTTGAAGTAAGTTCAAACTTTAATGTTGTATACCAACATCGTGTCAGCTCAGTTAAGTAAAAGAACTTCAAGCTGTTAATCATCTATGAGTTTCTTATTCGTTCAATTCAGAACAAGATTGACAGACCATTGGATGGACGGCAATCAGAGAGCACGCAGAGCTTCCATAAGCGTTCACTTTGATGGGTCATATCGGCACGGTAATGGAACTCGCTAGAATTGTGTAAAAGAGGGAAACTCTGACGCATTAACCATTTAAGGAGTATTACTTCATTATTAAACACTCATTATCAGCTATACTTTAAATCATAACCAGGACTTCTCCGCTCTTTTACGAAATCGTGCGGAAAGTGTAGTGGTTAGATGTAATGTAGATGTAGTGATGCTATGTAATAATACGTGTATAACCGCTAGTTTAACCTCCATCCTCCGTCAGCCAAGTTCACCATCACTCTGGTCTCAGTTAAGTAGCTCCAGACTATTTGGAAGGAGCTCGTTCTGATCTTCAAAGCTCGACGATATGCAATAAAATTAATCCCACTCAAACAGATATTTTATGCTAGCACCACTGAAATTCCTGAAGCAAGGTGGATTCTCGTGATCTTTAATTATGTTGATGTTCAACTACTAGATTGCTATATTGACTTTAAACAATATCATTGTAGAGAACCACATAAATTTCTTTGGATGGACAAGAAAAAGCAACTGAAGATTGATGGAAAGCACAAACCTGTGATATCCATTGAAATTTGTGCATAGTTTTCGGCGTGAAACGAATATCCATTAGTTTAAGCATCCTATCACCTAAGTCAATATTTTCACTATTATTTTCAATATTAAAGGTTAGAAAAGATACATCAAGATAAAAATATAAGACAGGAGAAAACACCGAATTTATTGTTCTCCTCTTCTGCGTGTTGTGCTCCCTCCACGTCTGTCATGAGTGCCGCCGTGTAGTCAGTCCTGAATCTTTAAATATCCTGAGATATTTCATGATTTTGTGATTCCATTTTAATCATTTTGGTCGAAGAGTAGTGGAGTAGAAGTGACGCCGACCGTCATGAGCACGGTGTTGGGGAGCAGCCATGCCTCAGCAAAGCTCTAATCCATGTGGGGTCGGAAAAGTGTCAGACTATAGCATCAGACTTGTCACTTTTTGGAATTCAAGCGTCAACTATCTAGCGTGGTTAGTGCAGGACCCCAGAAAAAATCGACACGGGCAGCATTCTACGAGATTCATGAAGAAGAGAACATCTTCAAACAGCAGCCGAACCCATACAAGGAAAGGTCAAAGAACTTCGTAGATGGATGCGAAGAAACAAGTGGAATGCCAGAGGTGCTGGGATTCGGAAAATTGATGTGATGACGGGTTATGCAGTAGTTGTAACATTTTTTGTCATTTTATGTACCAACTTATATAAGTTTACCATCACAATAAGACATAATTTGATATAATGGCGAGAAAAAAATATGAACGTAGGCTAGATTGGTAACTTGTCTCTCGCGTCACGCGTGAACCGGGGAATCTCAACCACATGAGGTTACTGGTATAACAAATGTGGTTCAAACAATATAATATTGCCTCTTAAAAAAATTACTATCAAAGTGAGCGGATGTTAGCTGAGAAGTCTCTTCCAAAGAAATTGTGTAATCTGAACTACATGACGTTATGTGCGCACTACGTTAAGGCGCATATGGCGCAGTGGTGGGAGGTGCTCTGCAACGTAAGCGGAACCGATCCTCGAGCTCATGGCCCACCAAGCCTTCCATCCCTCCAAGGTCGGCAAATTGGTACCAGGCTTGTTTGGTAGGAGAGCAGCACTGGCTCGATGCATCGGTAGGCCACCGCGAGTCGCTGTAAAGCCCAGGTATGCATTCAATCGCCTCCAAAGGATGCTTAATGAAGTCGAATACACGGCGCATCCCTCAGGGATTGGTCAGCGTCGAGAGCTTTATCCTTTATTATTCCGTTATAGGTATAACAAATATGTTATGAATAACATAATATTACACTTCAAAACAAATTACTGTTAAAAATCTTCCTTACTTTCCACTACGATGCAGCAAGTTCGTGTTATTTTTAGGAATAGAACCATTCATTATCTGACTAGGTGCGACTATTGCATTGATTACGCGGTAATTTTCACTGAAAAATAGACGCTTGTATGTTTTTCTTAAACCTTTAATGTAACCATTTATAATGGACGTATAGATACTGTAATAACATGGTAATAAAGTGAGCTATGCTTTGAAAATTTCCAGAAGAACCAGAAAATATCGAAAATATTGGGACGTCAAAGACGAAGTATAATCATGGTGAACTGTTGTTCACTGCTTCTGGAGATGAATATACCCATTTAGTCGACTGAATAACTATTTCGTTATTTTACTTTACCCAAATTTCTCACTGATTTAAAATGTCTTGATTACTGTACCAATGAAAGACCTTTATAGCCATTACACTGTGTGGAAATGTGCGTATACAGCGCTGTCGAATAAGCATGTATGTAACTATGCATGTGCGTGAATATAGATGTTTTAGTGTGTATTTATGTGTGTTTGTGAGTGTGTGTGTGTGTGTGTGTGTGTGTGTATGTGCACATGTGCGTGTAGTGCATATGTGGCTGTGCGTGTGGGTGTGTGTGTGGGTGGGTGTGTGTGCTGCGTGGATGCGTGTGTATACGTGTGTTCTATGTCATTCATTCCAGTTTAAATCATAATAGCGTTGCATATACCTATCAATCCTGATCCGTTGTCGCATATACTTCACGAATGCGAGTTTGATCAATGATAAAAAGACGATCATAAAACAAACACCTGAAATATATTGGCTTGGCTTACTAGTTACTATGAATTTACTAAAATATTCATAGAAAGAAAATCGATCACAACTAAAAATAATCCTCTACTACATTCGGTGTTTATGATTTTGAACGTCATATTGGTTGAGTACCAAGGTAGATATCCATCGCTTTGATATAACTGACACGAGGCATCATCTCATTGTAGGAAAATATCAAAAATGTAATTGCCAGAATAATCGATATCATATCCTGAAATGACGGCAATGCTCATAAAGTCGTAAAATGTACACCTCATGTTCTCTTATTTCTACGATGCAGTGGTGTATTTAAAGGGAACGGAGAAGGAAATCTGTTTGCACTTTCGAATCTCAACGCTTTTCGAAAAATCTCTTTGAATTCGGCTATATTTATTTGTTTGATATTTTTTGTACTTCCTTTCCACTTTTTTCTTCCACATGTCTCGATTTTCTCGAGAATAAAACACCTTTGTACAAACTATGCCATTTCTGTGATTTCTAAACTATCGAAGATGGCAGCAAAAGCTCTGGAAACTCTCAGATCAGAGTATTCATAAATTTAAAATGCGAGCTGGACCACGACGACGATCTGACGGATGTCATAAGATATTCGTCCATATACTCTACTTTTGGTTAGTATCGTGCTTAATAGTCACTTTCGTCGAACGAACAAATAAAATTCTGCAGAAATTGACATTTTTCTTTAATGAAAGCCTTTTCATACAACCACAGCTTGATCGATAACATTTATTGTTATGCCCATTCCGAATATTAAGCTCGCAGAAACCCATAGATTTATGTTCACCCAGGTTTTTTCTTCATTAAAAATCGAAATAATTAGCCGAAGATTCGTTAACGATGAGATCGCGAAAAATGACAAACAAACCTGAAACTCGGTCTCACTTTCCATCCATAAGGATACCCAGGATGTTATGACAACAGCTGTTGATGGAATGATTAACTGTAGAAAACAGAAGCCAGACGAGCGAGAAAACACAAAGCAAACGTATAGGCGAGAGTAGTTCCCTAAACAAAGTATAAAATGTGGTCACTGACGAAAATCCGCTTTCGTTGCAACGTGGAGTAATCGCATCTTGAACTTTCAATTGGCTTTATGATAACGTAAAGAAGAGCTAGATAGAAGCAGTTGGAAATAGGTTAAGTGGGAATGTGCTGCAATCAATTTGCTTACTTGATACTTGAATGGCCCGTCTTCATTGGTTGCGCGGGCCTCAGCATAATCTCCATTTTCTGAGATTTGCTGGTTAAGTCATTGTGGTTCCCTGGAATTCCGAGTTCAGCCTGGCCAAAGTCTGCCCCAGGTCTTCACGACCACAGATAGTCGCAGTCCTTGTGGATCAGAGGGAGATTTACCACCATGCGACTTTGATACCAGGACGGTGGTGGATCCTGGTATTGCTTTACTCTTAGCTAGGCTTCCTAATGGAAACGCTGGACTCCTTCTCGGCTTGGGAGACCCTGCGAGGGCGACGAGTCCCCTGCTGTACATCGCAGTTCGACACCCAGGAACACCTCCCAGCCACGATGAGACGGTGAACCGTTGGGAAGCAATCAATCTGTTTTTCGAAAATTCTATTTCGCTTGCTAGTAAGCAACACTAAGCTGATGCTCAATTCGTGTTTGCAGACGAAGAATAGAGTTAGAAAATTTCGACCTCTTCGTGAAATTATGTGAGAAACCAATAAATCAATTCATGCGAACCAGTTGCATAGATTTCCATCTGATTCGTCACGTAAGCATCTTTGATAGTAAAGTCCGGTAAGCGAATTTTGTGAAGTTTCAAAGCAGGTCGTGATCCAGACGACCATTTGTAGTGCACTTGATCGGCAGTATAGCCATCTAGATTATCGAGTAGTAAAAATAGTGTATTATAGCAGGACTAACTATGCTTTTCACGAATGTTCTGGTTTTTTCTATTGTTTCTGAAAATATTCTAATGACAAAATATTACGTCATTCGCTATAAGAGTTTGCATATACAGTACTCATATTTCTCATTAGAGGTCTAAATACTCGAGGAAATTTGACAAAGTCCTCATCATAGTTTAAAAAAACTTGTGTTTAAGGGAAATTCTAATTATGAGGTTTGAAAAATGAAGCGTTCAGCGTTGATCAATTCCTTGGAGGTACGATGTGCATTCTAATACGTTCATAGTTTCGCAGAGGTGATCAGATGTGTATTTGACGTATGCAGCGACTTGCTGGGCTTATCGGCACACTAACTCAGTGTTTTTATCTTTATTGATAAGTCCAGTACTAGTACGCCGTTCCCGAAGAAATGGGTTTAGTTTACCCAGTGAGCGGAATTTAGACAAGGAGCAAACGTTTATTGCCGGGCACCTCCAACCAGAGCGCAACACGCGCACCTAATTCAGCTGTGAACTATGCTGAGAGCTACAAAGTGTTTTGTGTGTCGAAAGCGATAAAGAGAGGTGTGGTTCAGTTTCCTTGCAGAGCCTGTCAAGCAAAGGAAGAGGGTTCGTTTGAGAAATATTTGAACTGTAAAAACAGTTATGAGAAATGTTATTTTGTCATATTATCAGTGGTATTTTTTATGAATAATTTTTGTTGGTCCTACATGCTCCACTCTCTACGAAATATGATCTGAAATAAAGTTGGGTCTAAAAATGCCTCTTTGATAAACGATGAATTATAAAGCTGCAAGCGTTGATCGTACCTGAGGGATGCGCAATGCATTCGACTTCGTGAAACACCGCTAAAGGTGAATGAATGCACGTCTGGCTTATACAATGGCTCGCGGTGATCTATCGATGTTTTGAGCCAGTGCCTATATCATTCCAAGCAAGTCTGGTACCACTGTATATGGATATCCTATACCTTGTAGGCAAAAGTCTCCAGGTTTTAATGGTAATCAGTATTAATGAGGAGAGATAGTGCAGTAGTTAGTGATGCCCATCAGAAAGCAGGGTTCTGTTTCGAGCCCCTTCGCAACGTTTTCCATCAGTCTAAATGAGACCGCCATAGGTCTGCTATGTACAAGATTGGAAGAAGACTCGACTTTATCAGCACTCTATGACATCCAAATGAAGGCGATATCCTCGTACAGCAATCGAAGCAACATGCAAAGTATTTAAGGACCTTTGTGGGCGATAAATTCGAGGAAAACGAATAGAATGCTTGAAGTGCTAGGATCTACACAGCAGATGTGATGACGGGTCATGTAGAATAATGTAGAACAGGTAATTGAAGTGCACCGGTACATCGATGTGTTGCTTTTGTAGTAAAAAAGTTCCTTCTGGGTTTCCTGTTAGGCGTATCTCCATTGGCTGGTTTTCAAGAGGCAATTCCTTCTACCATTAGTAAAATTAGGCAATAATAGAGCCAATCGTTCAAGAATCATTACCGAGAAAAGTATATCTGCCTTACGCGAGCCAAGCAAAGTGAACATTTTTTGCTCGCAAGGTGGATAACAATTCTTCAGAAAATAATTAGGAAACGATTTTTTTTACTGATACGTCATGTAGCAAACTCTAGGACCTACGCTTTTTTATCCTTGGTATTAATAAGGATTTCAATACTTTCTTAATGATCAGGCTTGATTTTAGTTTACAAATTATTCACAATAGCTGATGTTTCGGCGGTTTCGCCTTCTTCAGAACCTAGACATGCAATATACTCAGTCAAACACTTTCATAACATCAGCGGATAAAAGTCAATGCATTAATTCCTATATGAATAGTAAATAGCTTATTTGAAACACAGTTTCGTTGTTTGCAAGCCTCTAGTTGTTGTTGAAGACCGGCTACACAGAGTTTTATACGGGTGAGGAATGTGCCTGGCTCAAGGTAAAGAATCAACCTGAGGTACGGAACGAGATCAGCCGCGATAGGAAGGCATTCTATCTATCCTGTAGTTGATTTTCAATTTTTGCAATAAACCCAAAACTCATCACTGAAATGCGGTACATTGATCATCCATACCGAGGTTAAATGAAAGTTGATTTCCAACGAGATTGCTTTTTCAGGTGCAAGCTTAATATCAACTGCTGCAGGATTATCCGTTGAAAAATAAATCGTTACTACCATTATCAACAACAACCGTCCTGTAGAGAAGAGCGCTGACAGGTGAGGCTACCTCATTCGTGCGGTGTTCCACTGAAGAGGCTCCTATTTAACGAGAAAACGAAGACACCACAACGAGAAGACGAACGACTGTGAACCATCAACTCGGATAATCGGCTCTGATAAAGACGAAGACGTCGGAACGTTAGCCGAACAAATTTTTGATAACAACCTCGTGTCATGTTTTGGATGAAATATGGTACCAAATCTCTTCAAGAATTTTTGGCGCTGATATTTTAGATATCTGTGTGATGTTAGTGACTTCTACCTCGAAATTCTCCGTTATCTCTTTGTGCCTCATGCGCGCGTAGTGGACCTAGTTGTGTTTAACCTGCCCAATTGGATACTCGGATTGCCCGCCTTCAGCGCTGGTGCGAGCTCCAGCATAGCTTCTAATCGTTCCAATCGTTTCTCTATATCCTAATCGTCGTTCACGGTTGTGGCCAGCTTAAGGTACAGTGACGTCTGCCATGACCATTTCTTAGTTCTGAAATAGTTCCCATCCTCGAAAGCAGATGGCTGGCGATAGCGATTCCAAGATGACGCTTGCATTTCCTTAGAGTCCACTCCACTGTTTTTTCGTCCATCTGTTATCTCTTCTTTTCGTTATGTGGTCGACATATCTGTTTTTTGCCATCGATATATTCACCTAAATCCCAAAGATGGAATAGTTTCCCAAGATTTAAGCATTTATCGAAAAGAACCGTAGGTGGGTGCGGTGGAGAAGAACGCATTATTACCTTTTCTGGGGGCTAACGCGTTCATTTCCACGACATATGGGTCGGGAGTTTTGCAAATATCTCAACAAGTATTTGCAATATCTGCAAGTATACCTTTTTATTTCCTGCCTACTATAATTTCGCGGCAGGGTACTAAGCGAAATACAACCACAACGTTGCTGAGATATTTGTAAAACTCTGGACCGCAGGTGTCTATGGTGGGGTGTTTTGCAAATATCTCCGCAACGTTGTGGTTGTATCTCAACACTGTTAACCTTTTATTTGCTGCTTAGTATAGTTTTTATGGCAGGGTGTGAAATACAACCACGACGATGCTGAGACATCTGCTCTTATTATCTTACACTGCTGCAATTTTACAAATTTATACTACTATGATTTAATAGTATGGTAGGGAGCAATTAAAAAGTTAACATTGTGATTTCGACTGCAGCTTCACCTTAACTAGGTTCATTGCCGATTTGGGTTCCTCAGACTAATCCTGTTGACGGATGATTACTGATCGCATTGATGGATAGAAGACTAGCTGATAGACAGGCGAAACGAAGGACCTGAATGGTGCAGTGGTGAACGCCTTAGCACCGAAAATGTTAACAGCGCGTTCGTTCCTCACCGCAGACACCTACGGTCCGGAGTGCTGCAAATATATCTCAGACTTATTGTGATCATATCACGTATAATTCCTTGACGCGAAAATAATAGCGAGAAGATAAAGAAGTTAACATTATGCTTTTGTTGCTTATCTTTCAGTGCCCTACCTTTTTTTGTGATGCAGCGGTTTTTGAATACGTTAATGTGAACATGCAAAAATTGAAGCTAGCCTTTCTCCGGTTTCTCTCGAATTAACATTATGCACCCTTACTGCTGGCTTAGCAATTCAGAACGCTTATCCATCTTTTGTGTTGAGTAGTATACCTACATACAGCAACCGTCAGAGGTGATTATTAGCGCTTGTACTTTACACATGAATGCAATGGCAAAACTTGGTGCCCCCATTCGCTGTTCCATTTCCAATCCTCTCACTTTGTAAAGTACTTTCTGGACCATCTAAAGATTCATCAGTTTGGGCACTCTTTCAGAGGATGATAAACTATAGAATCGGCAGTCATACATGGTAAGCGCTGTTTAAAACTTAGTAAGGAGTTCGAGAATGACTTGCATTGAGAAGTTATCCGACACGCTTGCATAAATAGCTGTGAAGTTGGAAAACTCCATCACGTACTCATTGTTGGAAGTCGCTATACATAAACGATCCTGGAGCACTTGAGTGTTTATGAGGAGCACTGGAACATGTTTCAGTAACTGGATGAATACTACTTTTTCAAACCACGTTGCTTTATCTGTGAACCTGTCCACATAGCTGATGGTGGCTCCAAACTTGGGCATTCAATAGTCAGTAGGTGCCAAGACCTTCAGTGAATCCAAACTTATGAACTCTGACAAGTATAAGACATGACATGACATGTTGGAAATTCAATTCTATGTTGTGAAATAACCGATGATTTTAAAACAATGGTGTTTCCCATATCAACACATCCTTACTTAATTTTCGGAACTGGTGCTCAATTCATTTTAAGATGAGGACAATGAAAGGAAGCAACCTGAAGATGTTTCGCCGCAGTCTCCATATCTAGATGATGAGCAGTAGCCATAAACTTCCCACGTTTATCAGTAGTCTATCAGATAGTTTTTGATTTTATTAGCTCTTGAATCTGTCACATATCAGATTTATGCTCTGCTGTGAAGTTAGAACTAAGCTTTCTTTGGCTTTAACGATTAAGAGTTTGGAGGGTTTGTTCTGGAAGTATTCGGAAATTGATGTCTACTTCGCCCATTGGGTATTGTGGTCTAAAAAACGCTCGAGGTGAAAGAAGTGTTGGTAATAACTCTATTTCTTGTTCTTAACTCTAGCTTTGTTACGTGTTGTCAGGCAACCACACGCTAGGTTACTTTGGAAATTGGTTCAGCTGATGGCCCAATCCTGATTGCGCTCTGTGCTTACTGAGACGATGACCCTTGACTTTACTGGCACGTTGTCGCCCTTAGTTTAACCCTCAGAACTTCCGTAAACGGTGTTTTTTATTTTATTGAAGCTGATTTGCGCTGTTTTTTTTGTGGATTTTCGACTACTGCGCGTCCATATAGAACAACACCTAATTGAAAAGCCTAAATTCAAACAAAGCAATTCACTAGGCAACCGCAACAGACAAAAACGTGACGGAAAAAATTTTGAAGCAAAGATCCTTCTTTTCGCACAGAATTTTAGAACGCTAGCGTGTAAAACTTTTGAAGCGCTTTGAATAAATTCCAATAATTGAAAAACAGCGCTCAAAGAGGACTACCTCGTGCTCATCCGTAACCCCGTGCAAAGACTTCGAACTAATTTTTGACCTGAGCCAAACATTCTTCACCCATTGAAAACCATGTGCGGTATTCTTTGCCGAAGAACTGAAAGGCTTACAAAGAACGGAAAGATGAATGTCCAGAAAAGTTGTTTATTATGCGAATGAAATTTATGTGTGTATTAAGCCTTTTTGTTGTTATTATGAAAGTGTTTGGCTGAGCAAACTGGGTATCAGTTTTGCTGTTCAAGACTCTGAGGAGAGAAAACAACTGAATGGTCAGCTGCTGTTAATAAATAGCATGGTGGCAACCTCATATCTGCTTATCAAGAAAACAGTGAACCACATTAATTGGTTGCTTGTATTGTTACGGAAACTTACTGTTCCCCCCTTGCACTGCTGTTTTCAGATTTCTGGGAAAGAAGTGGAAACTGTGGCTTAGAGTATCAGAAACAATTAGTCGTACGCATGGACAGTTCAACTATTTGTTATAAATATTACTAGACTTACAACTTTCAAACCCTAGCTTGCATAACTGCTTGTCGAACGGGAACAAAGTCAAATCCATCGCTGGAAAAGAAATATTTATAGTACTACAGCATGAAAAGTAAGAATTTTCTTGTCTTTCTGTTGTCGTATATTCGTGGAAAAGGAAACCTGAGACTTAAATCGCATTGACAAAACACCTCATAACTCACTGCATTCACAAATTAGCGAAATGCGACGACTGTACAGTATCCGGCCGGTATTTTCTAACCTAAAAAATCTATTTAGTTTATTTATTTTGATTAAAAAACGTTAGCATTTGTGTCACACCAGATAAAATAATCACTTTTATACCGATTTAGTTTCCTAAGGCCTAATTGGTTGATATTACGCTGTCATTTTAATACTGGCATATGTCAGCTGTATAAGGGTTCTGATTATTGTAACCCTGACTTGTATTAAACATAGTTGAATGGTCGACGTCGGCTTGACAACTCCATCATTTTCAAATAATTCACTTTACTGTGGTTACGGTCACTCATAACGGACTCCGACGTTTTCATGTTCGAATGATCGCAGACATACTTCGTCGTTCGTTAGAGTTCGCAGTCAACTAGTAAACTCCACTCCGAGTTTTCGAGGCCACCGAATTTCCCAACTTTTCCAAGTTTTTCTGGAAGGGTTTCCTACTAACCCACAAAAACGGGATGGTGCCTGTGGTGAGAATCTGGTAATAGTCTAACGACGTCACGCGATCAATGACATTCATGAAGGAGACAAATGCATGAACCTAATGACATTAGTGGATGTAGCATGCAAAGAGAACAGAACGACTGAAAAAAGGCTTGGATTCGTTCAATACATATTTTAAATTATACGAATAAAGATGCATGTTTTACAAGGCAATGGCATACTGCAGTACTGCGGTTGTTGAGGGTTGATATCGCGACTCACATTATCAGATCGTAGTTAATTGCACTGCACTAGAATGTACTGCACTGAATTTCTGATATTATACCAGTCATACTATTTACTGTATCCTTTCATTTATTCATTTTTTTGTGAATCCCAGTATTTCTTTAATTGCAGTGGCTTCCTCAAGCTCTTACGGACACAGGTCTACGGATTTTGAGTGGTGCTTCCTGGTTGACTATCTTGTTCTTTTTCATGAAATTGTTGAGTGCTGGTAGGGTCGATTCTCCTGGAAACCTGAGACAACCATGTTAAGATGTGTCTATATTTTTATCGCAGGCTGCTTTTATGGATTAACTCTTCCAAAGAAATCGAGTACAAATTTTCCGACATCGTGGGAATGGTGAGAAGCGGTGCTTGCCTGGCTAAAGTTGGGATCGTATTGACAACTTTGCGTCTATCATTAAAAATCTATCGCGTTGATCTTGTGTCGTATTAATTAAAAACCATTTAATAAAAAGTAAACTAACTTACCTAAGTAGAGATCTATGGGATATGCTGTTTCTTTGTGGATTTTTCGATGAAATTGCATTCGGAACAAAAGTATCAGGGAACCAGAGGAAATTTGTGTAGCTTTCATGCAGTGCTAATTCTGTCTTGTTTTTGAAGAGTGAAATATTGAATCGAAGGCGCTCGTCCAACCACGACTCACGATAGAACATTTCAAGAGAATAGTCCTAAAGCAAGTGATCGTATGACTTAAGATACACCCCTAGGAGAGGAGAGACGCAGTATTTTTGCAAGTAGGAGTAAGTAAGGGATACTTTAACGTAGTTTATAGTCAACTACATAATATGATTTCCTACGAGTAGATTTGAGACAAATTAAAAAGCAATAAGGAAATCTACCAGTTTGTTTTTTCGATATTGAATAGACTTACCATTGTCACTTCGGACACAGCACGTATATTACTAACAACGACCGACACTTCAACTTCAACTGCTGAAATTACGTACTGATACGCAGCATAATGTGCAAGTCCGTAAGGTGCCTACCGTACCTCCTTCCTGATTTTCAGGACATTGACGGTGGTCGTAGTTGATTTGTTTGAGAAAATGCAAGAAATCGCGAGATTCTCTGGAAAGAAAAACAATATTATCCCATTATCTGGAGCGAATTACGGTGTCGTTAAAATAGCAAACAAATAACTTAAGCTGCACCACAATGAAAAGCTCTAGTAGATTAGGGATCATGCGAGTAAACATGTTAGGCCTAAAAAATACGTTATCGAATTCTAGTTGTGATCTATGTGTCACGAAACTAACTAGAATGCTTGCTACTTACCCATGGTTACCTAGATTGCTGAAAGGCAGAAACGAAATTAAGCTTTCCTTTTATCAGTTTATTAAGAGTTGGGACTGACAAAAGTTGTCAACACATTAGAAATATTAATAACACCCAATGGATGTAAAAATTAGTATAATTACTAGCATTGAGTGTATTGTAGCTTATCAGTTAGACCTCCAACGTGATGGACATCCCCTTCGGCTGGGTCCCATTTCTGGGAAAACCGAATCCTCAGTCTTTCGGGGATTGGGAAATTCGCACCAAACTTATCTAGGAAGATGAAAACATTGGATTGACAATTCGGAAGAACATATGAGGTACAGGGCAAAGCTTACTGGTTTAGCCACCCTATGCAACAAAGTAACGGCTTTAGCACAATTTTCAATTTCGATCTATTATACAATTTTATGGAGTGTTTAGCAAGCATTTATAGACAACCATGGGTCCTTTCCAACAACACACCAACTGGAAAATAATTTGGAACGGTAGTTCTTTTATGCTAAATCTATTATAAAAAATAAGGAAGCAAACATCTCAAGAATAGAAAAAAAAGACTATTAGCTGTCGAAAATTCTAAGGCATCGTAGACTTACATAGATTTTAGTTAGAAATACTGATAAGAATTTAAATATAGCACCGAACAACAACAATGCACTAATTACCGTAGTAATTCTCATGGAAGATACTTGGATAGTTGGATAGTTGGATGACCCTTACTGATTGCGCGGCATTCAGCATAATCTTCTTTTTTGGAGCCTTGCGGGTTTAACCACACTGGGTTTCCTGGAATCCCGAGGTTAACCTGGCCAAAGTCTGGCTCAGGTCGTCACCAGCACAGACAGTCGCAGCCCTTGTGGATCCTTGTGGATGTGGAGTCGCAGAGCGTGATCAGTCACTATGTGACTAGTATGATACCAGGACGGTGGTGGATCCTGGCAATGATTTACTTTTAGCTAGGCTTCCTGATGGAAACGTCGGTTCCTGCCAGGTGATGAATCTCCTGCTGTACATTGCAGCCTGATGCCAAGCAACACCTGCCAGCCACGATAAGGCAGTAAAGAAGGCTCACGAAAGATTCGGAGTTTTCCTCAAAATTTTCCTTGAAGTAAAATTTCTGGTTCGCGATGTTTTCGCGGTTCATCAAACGAATGAACAAACATTCGACTACTTCCGTTTTTTCCTCATTGCTGGCGCTCCACAGAGCATCTGGAAACAATGGATCTGGCTTTGACTTGTGTTTTACTGGTTTTACATTGTTTTAGAGATTTATATTGTGAGATGTTGAATTTGACAAAAAATTCATGCAAGGGTTCAAGAGTGCACGACACTCGACTATACAAAGTTGAGACGCTTCACATCATCTAAAAATACATTCTTATAATTTCTGTAATTTCAATTTCAAGTTACTGGTAGACTTTTTCTCCACAGTGCTGTCTTTGCAATAACACTATAGCAATAGCTATAGCAAGCTGTCGAAGAAATTAAACGAAGAAAAATAGCGATTTGAAAACGTCGGAAGTTTGAAGGACTAGTTCGTTGTCTCCGTGGATGTACAGAGTGGTCCATAGTGGTACAACTGATTATAACAGGGCGCTGAACATCATTATTCATTCTACCTTCAATATACTCGTCGATACTGTTATAGTGACTACGAAAAATTTTCGACAATATAGGCTGGAAAACTCGCACTCTAGGCCGGGCGAAATCACTGTTCAGACTTCACGTTCCATCATGCTTTGATAATTGGACATGCGAGTATCTCACTTTTAACCTCCTTCTAAGAATTCCATTTGTTGAGTTCGATGGAGAGTCTAAAGGAGACTTGGGCCAAAAGTCTAAAAGATTGTAGTTTTCATAAGAAAGTTTGCACACCTACAAGTGAGAGAAATTTGTGAAAACCGCCCTACCTTCGTTGTATCACTCTAAGAGTATATAAAAACGATTAGACTGCTTTTTAACAACCATATCCATCAGTACGAAGCATGAGCAATTAATTCATATGAAGTGCTCTTGCTGAGCTGACGCGCTGTTATCAATTTTTTTGCGAATCGAAGACGGGCGAGGTAATGCTACTCATACATTTCTATTAATAGCACTAACAAAAATCTATTCCAAAAATGAATGCCACTTTGTTAAAAAATACTAGCTATTTTTTAAGGCGTGGGAGGGCATCCGATTATCTGTTGTTCACATGGAGTGACGTTTGAAATCCATCCAGATGAAAAATCAACCTGTGGAAAGGCGCCATGTTGCATGTGGTAGTGAGGCGTTAATCTTTCCATTGCTAACTTTTTATTTGCTACCCATTACAGTTTTTTACGGCAGGGTATTATATGAAATAAAACCAAAATACTGAGATATTTGCAAAAGAGCGGCATGCTGTGGTGATGAACACGACAGCCCTCGGAAAGTGCAATAGCGTGTTCTGTCCGCACCGTAAACACCAACGTTCCGGAGTTTTGCAAATATCTCAGCATCGTTATAGTGCTTAGTTGTTCAACATCAAGGTGATCCGAAAGGTATTTTATACAAATTAGAGGGTTGGTCATGAGACAGCAATTGGTACCAACCGTTGCTCTCACCTTTATGTCTAAGGTGGAAGTTCCAGTTGTCGATCACCGACGCCTACTCTACTGTCGATTTATAGATGACTACTTCATCGTCTGCTCCACAGCAGTAGGACTAAATAAGGTGACTAAAGCCAAACGAGAATTGGCTTCCATTCTTACACATCCAAATAAAACTTTCGAAAGTCGCCAATATCAGAAAATGATACAGAAAATCAAGCCGCGGAAGTATACTAGTGCACCACTTCTCCTTTTA